TTGAATAGAGACTTTAAAACAGTAAATAACAAGTAACACCAGTGACGAAGTCACTGTCATAAAGCATTCATCTAGTTTATTAACTAAAGTCGGTATCGCATATTGTGTTAAAATAATTGTTGTAAACGTACGGCCGTTAATAGAAAAGTAGTTTAAATTAACCAAGATTTTTAGAAAAGCCTTTGTCGTTTTCTAAAAGGACCATATGTATTTATCTATTGTAAATCATATCATAAAGTGCCCTTGCAGATCGCCGAAGCTTTTTAGGTACAAGCAAGCAGAAAATTGTTTAAAATAAATTAATTTGCGAGCATTGAATATATATAAAGCTTTCAATTAATCGATGAGTGTAGCTAAAAAGTTGATTCAAATTCAGTATCAACCAAACTAAAAAGCCACCTACCAATATATAGCCGTTAATTATAGATTACCCAAAACAAAAAATGAACTAAATGCTTTCATAATTTTTGTGCACAATTTAAAAAACTTGCCTTTTGTACCAATTATAATTATAAAGTTGTACAAATTAATTTTTTTATTTTAATAAAAAAAAATGACAACTTTAAATTTACCACTTGAAGTTTTATTTGACATATTCAAATACATTAAAAGTGATTATAAATCATTATACTCTTGCATCCTTGTCAATAAACAATGGCACAATATCAATATTTCAACCTTATGGAGAAATCCATTTAATTCTATACTCAAAATTCAAATATTGATTAATTGTTTATTAGTAGAAGATAAAGATTTTTTAATAAAAAATAACATTGAATTAACTTTTCAACTATTGGAAAAGCCACCACTATATAACTATGCTAAATTTACAACTGAATTGTGTGGTTTTAGATTGATAAAAATTACTTATGAAAATCCACTGGTAGCTAGTTTAAAAGAAAGATTGGTGAATTTTATTTTAGAACATTCAAATATCAGGAGTCTTACCGGTTTTGATTGTGAAAAATTAACTAATTCATTTGCTGATTGTAATAGTATTGTTACTACTTGTTTTCAAAATCTTTGTGAATTACATTTAATAGTTGACAATAATTTAAAATTTATTGATAAATTAGCAAATACTTGTAAAAAAATTCAAGTTTTAAGAATAGTATCCAGATCTTTTATTAATATTAATATTGATTATAGTCTAGCTCAACTAATTAAAGCACAACATAAAATTCAAAAGTTAATTATTGCTTTATACGATAAATTTATTTTATCAGGTGATTTAGTAAAAGCAATTTTAAATCATTCACAATCAATAATTGATTATTATAGCAGTAGAAAAAATAATATAGATCCTATAGTAATACCAACATTTCATAATTTAAAGTTTTTAAAAATAAATTATAGAAAAAGTGGTGATACAAGTTATTTGAAAACTGCTCTACTTCCAAATATTGAAACTATAGATTTGATGTTTAATAATCGGACATCTTTATCAGACTTATCAGGATTCATAAAAATAAGTGGAGGCAGTCTCAAAACTTTGAAAGTTAGGAGTCGTTATCAGAGAGACCATGAATATTGGGGAGAGCTTCTTCAATCAATCGCACAATATTGTCAAAATTTAGAATATTTATCAATTTTATATGATGATGAATTAGACAAACAGTTAATTTCAATATTTATTAATTGCATTAATTTAAAATGTATTAGTCTTATTAAATTTGGTGAGTTGAATGGTGATAGAATTTTAAATGCCTTAAATCAAGCATCACCAAAAAATTTAAATGCTATAATTTTTGGTTGTAGTATTACTATTTCAGATAGTTCACTGGAAATTTTAATGAATAATTGGAATGGACCTAAACCTTTTAAAATAGAATTAACAAACTCATCAAAAATTAGACTAGAAGATTTATTAAAAAAATATCAAGGATTGGGATTTTTAGATAATAAATCATCATGTAACTTTTTTTAATAAAAAATTTGTTAATGTTAAATTGACATTTGAAGTTTTGACTAAAATATTCAAATACATTAAAGATGATTATTATATATACTCTTGCATTCTTGTCAATAAGCAATGGCATAATATTAACATTCTAACCTTACGGAAAGATTCATTTTATTCTAAAATCAGCATTTGAATATTAATTAATTGTCTATTTAATAAAAACAACATTAAATTAGCTTTCCAACCATTGGGGAACTGAATTAAATTTTTTTATAGATTGAAAAGAAATCCACTGATAGTTGTGATGATGTTTGTGTTAAATTTAAATGTTTAGAAGAAAGGCTGGCAAGAATTATTCAAATATCAGGATGTTTAAACTATTTGTCATTTAGTGACTGAGTGAGTTGATTGATGGTCTCTTTTCATGGAGAGCAAGCCATATCTTTCAAAGCCACCATGAATGTATGGCCTTGGAAATCAGCTTTAAGAGAAAGCAAAAAAGGGGTGTAACAGTTGAACAGATGAAACAGATAAATCAAAAAGCTTAGAAATCAAAAAACCCAAAAAAACAGTTTTCAAAATTGCCCCAATTATCCATTCCTGCTATAAAGAACATATTAAAATAGTTCTCTACAATCAAGCCAATATAGAATTATTTTTTCCTCCTACCCACTTGCTACATAGGTTATACCAGATAGTGCAAATAAGTTAAAAAAATATCATCCTGTGAGCAGAAACAGATATCAAAATGCACACCTAATTCATACAAATATGTGACAATTTATACATTTTTTTATTGTTATTTTAATGACATTTTCCTAAATAACTGTTGAGCTTGTTTCAAAGAAACTCATTCTAACTTGATAATTAACACTTGGTTGATGTGATAGTGAAACACCTTTTTAGATTATAGTCAACTAATATTCGTTCATCAGGATTTTCTTTATTACAAGCAATTCACCCAAATTTTAAACCATTGAAATATAGATGTCTCTTTGATTCGGGGACTAGTCAAATATCTACTTTCACAATAATTGTTTTGCCCGAACTCATTAAAAATCTTTCTTTATTTCAAAATATTAAACTTGCTTCTTTCATTTAACATCTATATTTATTATTTTTATAGGTTTTAAAAAATATAGGTATTAATTTTTAACTATTGAATATTTTCACAAATATTTGCTAATTATCGAAAAATTCACCACTATAAGAACTATTACAATCTATTCATAAAGATTCTGAAAACAATTGTTGAATCTACTATGATGATTAATTATTAATAAATTCCAATCATATAATTAGTACTAAGCTTTCTTATACCTGCTGAATGATCTAAAATAAGTTTTTCTAATTTATTTGTACAAGATTTGATGCTCTAATTTTTATCAGGGATTGAAAATCATCATAATTGAAATGTATAGTACAAAATTTTATCACAATCTATTTTACCAAAGTTTTTAAATATAATGCTTTTTAACTTTGCACAATTATTAAGTATTTCAATTGATTCCTGGTCTAATTCATCTTTATACATTGTAGACAAATCTTCTAAATTTATACAATGTTGTGCAATTGATTGAAATCATATGGAAAACCACCAACATCTAAATTTTAAAAAATTTTCCATTTGTATTAATAAAATCAGACAAGTCTGATAGAAATGGTTGAGAACTAATATATAGATTCGTTTTCACAGATTCAATATTTAGCAATGAAATATTTTTCAAACTTATTTTGTCAACACAAAATGATAACTTTAAAGTCATTAAATTCTTAAAAGTTGGTAATAATAAATTATTAAAATTATTTCCATTTCCACAATGAAATCTATAAAAATTATTGATTGTGAATGTGTTAATATTGCCTTTTTTAATCCATCTGTTAACATGTTTATGTATGAAGAGCTGGGTAATCAATAAAGCAAGAGATTAGAGTATATAAGTTTTTCAACAATGTATGTTACATTTGTGATATAAGCAATCTGATTGATAAATATGACCAATTTGAACTGGTAAAACTGCTCCACTGAATATTTGTTTTATATTCATTCAATAAATTAAATTTAGTGTATGGATAATCATTAAATTGATTATTTAGTGAATGAATGATTATTCATTGATTATTCATTGATTATTCAGTGGATCTTTTCAAATTAATATTAAGTTTTATTCTTTTTTGAAGTTATTGTATTTCCAGCCTGGCTAAATAAACTCTCATTCGGAGTGGATGTTACAGGTACTTAATAGCTAACTTTAATAAAACAGAAAATATATTTTTATTATGTTTCACAACATCTTTCCATATCCACTTTGACTTCTTAGAGCAACCTTTACTTTGCTTTTCTTCAAAATATGAGCAGCAGAGGACGTCTCTCCTCTCGTTGTTGTATTATCACTTTCTCCTATTATAGTGATTGAAGGCTCTTCTTTCATTTTAAATGAATGGAGCGGGATAATTAATTTAATTAATTAGAAATGAACAAACAGATGAATTAAACAAGAAAAACAAGGATTCGTTTCAATTCGGTTGGTTGCACGAGATATTGATTATCACTTTATTGAATTTATTACTATTATTATTATGTTCTCAATGAAAAAAATTAAATATCTGATTAAACCAAATAAATATTCACTAAAATATTATTCATTGTCAAATGATTTTCAAAAATTTACTTATAATTACACGAAAAAATCACGAGAAGAAATGTTTGTATTCATGTGATGTTCTTGTATAAATAATTAATTATAAATGATATTATAAAAATAGAAAAACAAATATAACACGAAAATATGAAGAAAAAAAAATCTGAATCAAAGGACAGAAGACGAAAAAAATTAAAAATTAATTAAAAAATATATAATACAAAAAGCAAATAAAACCCAATCAACTCACTTATCTTCCTCCTTTACAGATCCTCTAAAATTAAAATTACTATATATATATGGTACATACATTACATGTATATTGACAAATATCTTTATTGTAGATTTGTAATGAAACATATCTCCATTTTCATATGTGGACGACTAAAAAAAATAATTAAATTAAAAAACACACATTTCAAAAAATCCAAGAAACATTAAATCCAAATTGATTTTACCTTTCTTTATTAATGGTAATATCTGAAATTTTTAGTTTTGTGCTTTTATTTTTATTGAAACTTCTTGTATTATTTTGTATTTTAAATGGCCTGTATGAACTTTTAGATAGTTTTTGCATGTAAATATTCTTAATAGAATTGGGAGTTCTACGGTTTCCAATTTTTTTTGCAATATCTCTCCATCTGCATTGCTCTTCTTCACGTAATCTAATGATCTCCAATTCTTCTTTACGATCAAATGGATCTCTGTTTACTATTATTATTGTAATGATGTTATTATTTGTATATTTCATATATTTATTAAGTATTCATGTAAATATATTACTTACTACCAAGTCTAAGATGCCCATCCCATCTAAAATATATCATATTATATAAAGTTATTGATTATTATTTAAAATTTAAAAACAAGTTAAAATACACAATTTACCTTTCCCTACATTGCTTAGGATTTCGAGTTTTCACATAACTTGCAGCATCTTTCCAATTTCTTGGACCATTTCGGTTTACATATTCAGTCAACTTAAGATCTTCCTATATGATTTATTATGACAGAACAGATCAATTAATTAATTTACTTATAATAATAAGATGATAATAATAAATAATGAACGGTATATAATTACCGCAGCACTCCAACGACCTTTTTGACATCTTTCGGTAACTGTTTTTTCAATCATTATTAAAACCTCACTATAGAAAGAATCCAAGAAAAAAATTTTCTAAAGTTCTATTTGTTTTTATTTATGAAAAAATTAAGTAGCGTGCAAAGTCAAAGACTAAAGTAAAAATTACAATTATTATAATTTTTTTAGAAATATTTGACAAAAAAATTTTTTGTTCTCAAATAAAGTACAAGTTTTAATTGATTATATTTATATAATTTTTCCATAATCACTAGCCCATTTTCTAATGGAGGGAAAAAATATATAATCATCTGATATCAATATTATTTATTTGTTGATCACTAATTTAAGTGTTGCAAAAAAGTTAAGTTTTGGTTTAGTACTAGGCGCCAAATTTTTTTCATAAAAAAACGATAAATATGAATTTCGTCAATTGATTAAATTCAACAATTTTTGTCTTTTAAATTGTCATTAATTCTATCCTAATTCATAAAGATTTTGAAACGACTTAGCAACGATATTGCAATCAATTAGTTTAAACCTTCTGATAGTCTAAATGAATTTACTGACCTTTCTTTTAAACATTTAAATTTAGCATGAGCATCATCAGCAATTATTTTTAATAAATTTAAATAAATATTAAATTAATGCAATTATAATTGATTGAGTTAATCATCATACAAATTGGTAAATATACTAGTCATACGAGGCATTTACATAGTAATAGTAATAGTAAATAAAAATGTGATGTTTTGAATTTTGCGTGACAAAATTGTATTGTTTTTTAAAATTTTTTTTTTATTTTCATTTTAAACCAATAAACAACGTTTACTTGCTTTTCCGATCCCATGTTATATACACTGTGTTTCAAAAAAAATGGCGCCAAAATGTAAGTTTATTTAAAAATGAAGAAAAAATTTCCACATGACAAAAAACGATTGGTATCTTGTTTGAATGAGAATAAATGCTTGCATATATGTTTATTACATGTCGTTTGCAGCAGGATAATGATCCAGCACACATCACATGTTACAAAACCCTTCATTTTTGAAAAAAGAATTTGCATAATAGATTGGCCATTCAACAGTCCTAACCTTAATCCCATTGAAATATGTGGTATATCATAAAAAATAATGTTGAAAAAAGGACGGATGTCAAGGAATGTTGATGAATTGAGTGATTTATGGTTGAAGAATTTCTCAGGAAACAGTCGAAAATATTATTATGGCTATGAAACAGAAATGTGTGCTGGTTTTTTAAAAAAAAGTAGTGGTATAATTTCTTATTGGTTTTTTTTTATTTAATTTGATAAACTTTCAAATGAATCTAGTTTTGTTTATCTCGCATAATCGTTGAGATTTGTGATTTTTGTGCGCGCCATTTTTTTTGAAACACAGTATGTTTTCCAATCTTATTGTGAGGATCTAACGCAAATAAAAAAAGCGCTAAAAAGGGGGTTTTTTTTTTTACAAACCAAATTTGTTTCCATTTACTATTTTATGAATGAAATCATTAATAATTGGAGGAGTATAGTTTGTTAATATTAATCATATAAATTGTAAAGGTAAATTAATAATTTATTTTAATGCTGAAATTTATTATATATTTTTTTTCTAACGTGAAATGAGTATTTCTCTATTATTCAACGATATAGTTATTTAATTTATAAGCAATACAAACAAAACAGGATGAGCAGACAATAATTAGATCATTTGGATTTTATAGATAACTTTAATATTTGCATTTTAATTAGCATTAAAATTGATTAAATAGATTTTGGTTCATAAAAAAAATTGGGGGTATTTCTTCAAACATGATGAATTTCAAAACTGCAGAACAATACACACACGGCTTTGCCTACACGGAAAAAAAGGACAGGAAAGTTGATCTCGTTTAACGTGATACACGCAAACGTTCTTAACCCAATCATGGAAAAAACGTTGTACGATTTGGTCATGAGACTTTTATTATTAGTTTGTTAATTTAAATATATAACTAAAGGTAAATAAGAATATATTTTAACATTTTTGGATTTTATAACTTTAATGTTACACCTTTAAAATTGATTCTTTGTTTCAAATTCATTAAAAGGTTTTGTGATTTTAAATATCAAGTGACTTGAATTTTTTGAATGGAAAAGAAAATTTTACTATGTTGCAGATCGTCTTATTATATATCACAAAAATGACAAATTTCCCACATGTGATGTTAGCCGATAGAAAAACCCTAAGTATTAACAGGCTAAGCCGAACAACTCTTAGCCGGTATTGTTATTACTACTACTATCGTTATTATTATTATTATTTTACTATTTTTATTATAATATCTCGCCTTTAATGGTTCAAATTATTTGTTTTATTCGTTATGAATCTGAGTATTCGAATTACATTGAAAGTTTATTCGAATAAACGAATAAAACGAATAATTTAAATAGAACGAATAATTTGAATAACGAATAATAATAATTCGAATAGAACGGATTATTTGAATAGAACGAATAATAATAATTCGAATAGAATGAATAATTCGATTAATTCAAATAAAGCGAATAGTTCCAATAAAATGAATAATTCGAATAGAACAAATAATTCAAGTAAAACAAATAATAATTTGTATTACGAATAGAAACTCTATGACTTTTATCCTGCTATGATGTATTGTATTTTGCTTTTAAGTAAATATATGGTTTTTTGTCATTCTAAGTAATGTAGGTGGACCCATCTCAACTAAATGTCTGTGCCATTGAATTCTGCACTAAAATTCCAGACGTAAAAATGAATGTCATGAGAAATTTTTTTAGTCAGCTAAGCCGCCGTTTAAAAATTCATTGGCCGGCTAACATTACTAAAATATACAATTTTGGCGTAATATTGTTGTCCAATTAATTGAAGAACCCAAACATTTGTTACAATGGTTTCACAACACTAGTGAAATTTTACATTGGTAAAAAAAAACAAATCTAACAATAATTACTGTATATGTACTATTTTATCAAAAAATTACAAATATTTACTGTTTAACCTAGATTAGGTCCGATTTGTTTACCTGTGACAGTTGTTATGCTCAATGCTTTCATTGTGAAATCTCTGTGAATGAGATTTTTTCTAAATTATGGATAAATTTCGCTTTTAGTAGGGACTGGTTAAATTTATATAGTATAAGGCATGAATTGCTTCTTTCAGGTTAAAAATTTCGCACGTGATAAATTTCGTTGATTTCAAGTTGAAAAAATTCAATGGTGAAAGTTCTTTCGTATCACAAAACGTTGTGCAGTTCCGTTCCTGTTCCTTATTCTAATTACATTATCAAAAGGAATAGGAAACAACAAAATTTGTAATTTCTATAACACATTTAGAATGATTGTCAAATACTTTTAATAAGAAATTACTGATAATGTTTGCTAAATATGAGAACCGCAATTTATCTGCAATTAATTGGAGAGACTCTTTATTTGAAATAAACATGAGTGATAAATAAGAACACACTGTATTTTCCCTGCTTTTGTTCACAAGCAGACAACAATTATGTATAAGGTAGCCTTTTTGTTAATGCCGATGATAGTCGATTATGACTTAAATTTTGGGATAAGGAATTCACGATAATTCAATGCTTGTCAATTAAATAATTTACGAGTTTAATTTGGCTCTCGCTTACTGTCTCTGTTTATCCCTAGAAAGCTTTGGCGAATCTGTAAGCACATTTAATGGTATCAGATAAATGTAAATAAATAAAGAGCCTCGAAATAAAAGCACTTTACCTTATTTTGAGTTCTATAAAGCTCCTTTTATTTCAATCGTCTATATTTATTTGACTAATTACAAAATAATTTAAGAAACTTGTTTAACAGCCTTACGTTTATAATAAGAATGGTTGACGAAATATTTTGCAGGGCGGAGAATTATTTCGTCAAACTATTGTTAATTTCGTCGCATTTGACGAAATTGACGAAATTGACGAAACTTAAGTTGACCAATTAAACCGACCAAATTTTCATAATCAATAATTTCATTTTCATCAAGAACATAATTAATTTGTTCCCTTACTGCTTCATCTTGAATACCAAATGAATGAACTTTACGTGGACTAAGGTAATAAATTTTACTTACATGTTGATCAGAATGTGCTACATGAACATTTTGGGCTCAATCATAACTGTAATGAGCAGTGCCATCAATACTGCAATATGGTGTTTTATCCTTTGAATAATGTTGATCAACTAGTTTTCTTTGTTCTTCAGCCAGTTTGGTAATTTTAATCTTGCCTTGAACAAATTCTCTTTAAATTTCTGAGTAATTTTTTAGCTTCTTCCTCTTGACGAGCATTGTAATGTAAACCATTTCGAAAATTTTGATAAGTAAGTCCTGGGACTCATAATTTGAATTTCTGGTGTCAATTGATGTCATGATTTTCTGAAGACATCATATTCCAAAGATTTCAAATTGCTATCTTCTTCCAGACCAGCCAAAAAACCTTTTTGGACTGATTGTAGCTCATTTCAGCTGGCAAAAATAGATTGAGTTATTCCATTAATACTACTTCCTGGACTTGGTAATCCATGAGCTTTAGCATAATTTTCCAGAAAGTTCTTTACAACTGTAGCAATGTCTTTGTCAATTACCATTTTAGTTTTCCATTAAGGCATTCTTTTAATATTACCATGAACTCTTGACAGAAGACCATTGTTTATCGGATGATTTCTAATATTTTCGAAATAAGTTCTACCAATCCCCAGGATATTGAGGTAAGTTTCTTGACAAAGAAGTGTATTGTGATTCCAGTGATAGAAAGTTCATTTGTTACATCTGTTTTTCTTTTTAAGGTATCTACTGGTGCTTATTGATCCACCATCCATTGCTAATCTGTGCCATTAAAAATATGTCTTGTTCAGTTTAGAGAGAGCTTGAAAGGATTCTCTTAATTCAGCAAACTTTTCCTTGGGAATTCTTGAAGAACAACCACAATTACATCCTTTTTCTAAAAAGTTGATTGTCTTTTTATATTCATTAGAACAATTATATTATTACTTTTCATACATACTTATCCTATATATATAATATTTTATGTTCATTTGTGGATTTTTTTAGAAATTATTTGTTAAAAAAGAGCAGTTATAAAATTATCTGGAAGTTAAAGTTCTAAGAAATATGGTTTTAGTACAAACTAAACAAACAAAATATTAGAAACACATTAATAAAATAATAAATAAATACAACATTCTTCAATTGAAAATGATTTTTTATTTTAAAGCACATTATAGAATATCTAATTGGAAGATTAGCATGCAATATGATATAAATTTTTGTGAAAAGGTCAAATACAATCAATACTATTATTACAACACTCATTATTATGATATATAATCAAGAATCTATGCATTAATCTAATTTAATTCTTTGTTTTATCATTTGTGTAGCTTGTATCAAATTATAATAAAATAAACAAATTATGATTATGCTAAACAACATCAATATAAACAATATATTATAAATAATTTATTACTCCATATTGTATATGTTTAATTATCTTCATTTTTTCTGGACATTCCCCAGTGTGGAATCAACCCAAGCAGTCAACAATTGCTTAAAGTTACTTGTGAGATCTGATGGCGAGGTTGTGGGGATTGGTGGAAACTGTCTCAAACAGCCATAGATATTTGAAGATAATCCAAATAATGCAAGTGTCTTCTGAAGATGCTCACGGAATGCTATGATTTTAGCATTTGAGACATTATTATTGTCATCAATTCTAATCTTCTTAATAAAATTTTCTATTGTTTCATCATCATCTGTTTGATAATCTTTCAAGACTTCTTCAATTTTATGTTTGCACAAAACAATTTGATGTGTTTGAGGTGATTTAAACAATTCAGTTGGAACATCAATAAACTCTTTTGTTGCATCTAATTGCAAATACAACGACCAAAATGGAATATGTGGAAGTTCCTCAATGCCTATATATGCTGGTGACAGTAAAGCTGTTGCAGAGAGTGGATAGTCATCACCTTTATTATCTGTTGACCAATTTTTAACTTGTATTAGTATGTATGAAATATGATCTTTGCTAAGCTTTTCATGAAGAGTGCCTATATACATTGGTATAATGATATCTACTCCCCGTTGATTTCATTTACATGAAAATGCAGTACCACGGATCAGAGCGTCACAGAGATTTTTCTTACCTGGTGTATATGTAATATTGATAAAGTGTGTAAACTTAATCATTAACTAGAGTGACGACAAGTGACGACAACCACCACCATTATCATGATAAACACTTAGCCTTTCACTTTTACGGCATCATTTTCTTCTTTGCTGCTTTTAAAATAAAAAAATATCGGGATTCAAAATTAGAAGGATGATCAAATTTTTATAAAAAGAATGCGTGATGTTGATCATCACTATGTTAATCGCACACGTTGTGACATTATCGTTAATCATTGTTTTTTATCTTTCGCCATGAGAATACCCACCCATATTAATAATATTTTTTAAATTGTTAAATTCATTATTTTTATTATTGAAAAATATGACCTATCAATACGATCAATATCAACAGCAGCAATCACCACAACTACAACCTTCATTTGATGGCGTAATTGATAATAAAACAACTTTATGGTATTTTTTTTTGGTGGATCATTCAAGATCTTGTTTTCTCATGTTTGAAAAAAAAATTTTATTGATCATTTAGGATGGGAGATCTTGAACCTTGGATGGATGAAAATTTTATTAGACAAATTTGGTACCAACTTGGAGAAAATGTTAGTGTTAAAATAATTCGAGACAAGTTTACTGGGTATGTAATTTTATGTAAATGCAAACTTTTGTCTTTTGTCTTTTGTGTTTTGTGTTTTTTTCTTTATATCAAACAAATAGATCAATTAATTTAATTAAAAAATTTGTATGTTTTTATCAAATATACCATTTAGTACAAATGCAGGTTATTGTTTTGTAGATTTTGTAAGTAATTCTGCAGCAGTCAAAGCATTGACCACAGCAAGTGGTACATCTATCCCTGGTACTAATCGAGTATTTAAGCTTAATTGGGCAACAGGAAGTGGTTTAGCTGATAGAAAGTAAGAGGTTTGCTATTTTGGGGGAGGAGTTTTTATTATAATATGATTTTCAAACGTGTGTGCACATTGATGAAGTATTTAACCTTTAAACTTTAGAGATGATCGTGGACCTGAATTTTCAGTATTTGTTGGTGATTTAGGACCTGAAGTTAATGAATGGATGTTAGTGGTAGGTCAAATAACAATATTAAGATTAATAATAATTATATATATATACGTTTTATAAAAAACAATATCATAATGATCTTTCCAATAGTCATTTTTTCAACAACGATATCCTTCCTGTAAATCTGCAAAAATAATGACAGATCCAATGACTGGGATGTCTAGAGGCAAGTGTGAGGGAGAGGGGTTAAGAAATAATTAGTTAAAGATTTTAATAAATGACTCAAAAAAAATTTTTTTTTTGAACAATTTAGGATATGGTTTTGTTCGTTTTGGGGAGGAGATTGAACAACAACGTGCTCTTGTAGAGATGCAAGGAGCATTTTGTGGAAATCGTCCAATACGAATTTCCACAGCAACTCCTAAAAATAAACTTTTATTACAAGGTGGTTATTTTCAACAAACAACCTTTCAAAATCCATTCCTTAGTAAATATAATGATCCAAATAATACTACTGTTTTTATTGGAGGGATAACTGGTATCAATAATGAAGAGGAACTTAAAAGGTCCATTATTATTTTATCATCATTTGCCTTATTCCAAAAAAAAAGTATGCATTATGTATTAATTATTCATCTGGTCATTTCGTAAATTATATAGTTATTTTCAAAACTTTGGTGAAATCACAAATGTAAAAATTCCACCTGGTAAAAGTTGTGGATTTATACAATTTGCTCATAGAAAAAGTGCTGAAATGGCTATCAGCCAAATGCAAAATCTTATTATAGGTACTAGAAAAAGGTCAAAAAATCATTAAAGAATTATTTAAATTACAAATATTATTGATTTTTAGGTAATTCAAGAGTACGAGTATCATGGGGTAGAACACAAACTGATAAAACTTCAGCTACAGCTTACAGGTAAATAATTAATAAATTATTGATAAAATACAGTAAAAACAATATATTATTATTAATCTTCAACATCATCTTTTTTTTTGCAAGACCACAATATAATGCTTTTGGTGGTATAGCATCAGCAACAACTTCGTATAATAATACTTATACACCAGTACCAACTCAGCAACAGACAATTTCAGCTCTTACACAAATTACATCAACACCCTTAACAACAATTCCTTCAAAAATTCAATTGGACTCAATGGATCCCTTGGAACCTATTCCTGTTCAACATTTAAATGATCTTTTTATTTCTAATAAAGAAGATTTACTTGAAAGAATGGAGATTGATACAAGTAACTGGCCAGACAATATCTATGCTTAATCAATTTTTTTATCAATATTTTTTATTTATTTTTATTTTTTATTTTTTTTATTATCAAAAAAATTATAATCACTTATAATCATAATAATTATGGATATTTTTTTTTTAATTGTTTATTACTATCAAGTATATATATTTTTTATTTACAAAAAATTTAATAATAACTTCAATTTTTTCTTTAAATAATAAAATAAATGCTTTTATTTGAAATATAGATGGATAGATTTAGTGGGTTATTAAAGGCAATTAAATAATATGAGAAAAAAAGGATTTAAATATGTAAATATGTTATTATTATTATGATGGTTTCATAAAATAATTTTTAATATTTTCAATTATTATTATTATCACATTATTAATTTTTTTTTTTTTTTAAACACAATAATAAATTTTACCAATTAATTAATGGAATATAATATAATGATAATAATAAAAGCAAACAATAAATTTTGCTTACGGTGAGATTGAACTTGATGATCCATTAATGCAATAAGATATTTATCAATAATATCTATACAATCATTCAGATGGTACTACTTCTAAAACATCAGAGCTTAAATTTTTTTAAAGGATTGATAGTTGAGGATTGCTTCCACTCTAATTTGTGACACTGTCTCACTTTATTTGTGACTTGATTAAAATTTTTTGATTGTTTCCAACTCATTATCATCGTCATTGCCATTTGCCACCATCACCATAACTAATGTTTGATTCAAAATAATCATTCATTGTTCTCACTGTTTAATATTTCTACTATAAGAACCGGATAATATTTCATTTTTATTAGAAACATTTTTTTTCTTCTGTTGCATCGACATGCTTGCAATGATGAGATAATAAGCAAGCTTTCACGAAGCCTAAAGCTTTTGCTATATCCATTGATGACATACCATGTATCAGGTTATAAATTTTTTATGAATTGAAAAAACCACAAGAAATAAAAATAATAAAAACAGAAAATCTTAATATAAATGTTTAAATGCTTTTTTGCAAATTTTATCTGGTGGAGAAAGTTTTAAACGATTATTTAATTTTTCAAGGTATGATGAGGTAAATCGCTAATATCCAATCCTTCCAAACTGAGAGAGCTCAAATCTTCAAGTTTCTACAACTTAATTCAGTTAAAAAACCACTTCTGACAAAATGACAAAAAGATTACTCTTCATCTAAATGGTTAACTTGTAAATTTTCAACATGGCTAGCATAACACAAATGTTGTTTTAGCATTTTATTGCCAGTTAAATCTAATTCTCATATTTTATAATACAACAATTTAAAGTTTCTAAATTTTTGTAACATCTAAATAACCCTGTTGACCTGGTATTGAGGGAATGGAAGCACCTAAATTATTAACTTGTTATTAAAAAGTTCTTTTAAAGAATCAGCTAGGAAATCATAAAGGTTAACTTATTATGAAAAGAACAGTTTCTAACTTGAGAAATCATGTTCTTTTATATGATAAGTGCTGAAAGGTTTCCATGAAAGAATCACATATTCTTGGTCATACTACCTACATTTAATCCTGATGTATTTGGACCATTTAAAAAATTTTGAAGTTGATGATTTAGAAACAAATGGTTATATAATATTGCAAAACAATTTTTGAAGCTAATGAAAGAAAAGTCTTTTTCTACAGCTGGACTGAAGATTTAAATTTTTTTAAACCATAATGATAAACAAGCTTATAATCGAAAACATGTCAGTGAGTTTCGTGAAATGCAGATTAGCATTTCAGCGTGATGATATTATAAAATCACATAACTCAATCATATATATAAAATTCGTTCGGAGTATCAAAATTAGCACTGGATGCGAAGAATCTCAGCATTTTATCATTCATGATTAATGATACAATCATTAATAAAAATAGACTATTTCATGGCAGATGGTACATTGATCGAGTAGCCCAATAAATTACAACAAAGACATATAAATAGGCCCGCCACCCCAAAAAAACAGTGCATTAGTTTTGTTTTTTACATTACATTAGAATTCGAGGGTCGAGGCACGTAGTGCCGAAATGTCGTTCTACTCTACGTATGATTTGGCTTTACACGTTGCATTCAAATGCGAGGTATCTATATATTCGTTCGGAACATCAACGTTAGCCAGTCATATTATTATATAAAAATCTTTATTTTATTCGTTACGTTGAACAAAAAATTTATTTATTTATTTAAAAAATTACATATACAAAGGGAAATTGTTCACGAATTTAATAAATTAATAAAAGATCTTTTGCAAAGAAGAATTTAAAAATTATTTGCAAATTTCAATTCTTAAAAAAAAAATCAACCATCCTTTTTTTTCTTAATTATAAAAAAAACCCCCCCTGTCCTGATCTTTTCATCGTGTTAATTTATTTATCCCAGATTAAAAGTCAATTGATTTTTTTTTTCAAGTCTATTTCTATAGAAGAATAAACTTCATGCAAACATCAAAAGTTATTTATAAATTTGCTTTTTTTTCTTAATTAAAAAAAAACAATCCTTTGCAAAGATTAATCAATGGATTTTATTTGTTTTCTCCGAAAGAGAAATTAAGAATAAAATTTCTCCTATCCAGATCATCCGCTACCTCTCAAATGGTCAAAATCAAAAAAAAAATTGCTTGTTTATCGATCATTG